TCATCTTGCCAAACAGTTTCCCCACTGTGCTCAACAGGGTTATCCCTCTATAATTCCCCGGGTCAGCTTTATCCCCCTTTTTGAACAGGTTCACGACTACTCCTTCTCTCCATCTCTTCGGCGCGTACTCGTGTTTCCATATCCAGTTGAATATCCGGACCAACATGTTAATCATCCCCTCCCCCCCCTGTTTCAAAAGCTCGTTCACAATTCCATCAGCCCCTGCCGCTTTTCTATTCTTGAGTTTCGCTACGCAGTCCTCTACCTCTTCTCGTGTGAACTCTCCCTGCAACCCGTCTACATCACTACGTTCCCTCTGAGATCTTTCAACGTTTTCCTCTGCCCACGAGTTGATTTCCTTCTCAAACTCCGAGTCGAAGTTGTCGTTGGTGGTGGGTGTCCCAAGTTTGCAGTAGTGCTCTACTAGTACTTCCCTCTTTCCTTTAGAACTGCATACCATCTTACCCTCGGCAGATCTTAGTGTCGTTATTTCCGTGTCTCCCCCTCTTTTGTTGCCCACTATCCCTTGAATTCCTACCCACATTTGCTTCATCCCCCCCTCAAAATCTTCGTTAGTCTTTTGGACTACTTCCTCCCACAACCCTTTCTTCTTCTTCACGACCAACTCCTTCACCCTCTTTCTACTTTCAACATACTCCTTCCATCCTGCATCTGTTTTCCCGGCCGCATATTTTGCGTGTGACTCTCTACGTACTCGAATTGCTTGCTTGATTTCTTCGTCCCACCACTTCACTGCTCTCTTACAAACTATCAACTTTCTACCTAGAACTCTGCTTGCTGTTGTGTTTACCAGCTCTTCCCACTCTTCTATGATTCTAGACCCGGCCTGGTCCCGGCCTTCGGCATCCTTCGGTGTACCCATTGCCTCCATCAACTCCGAGAGTTTCTTGTCGTTTATAGCCATCTCTTCTTGGAACTCTACCCTCGTTTCTTCTACTTCTAGCTTATCTATTCTCCATCTGTACATTTTCCTGCGTCGCCTACTCTGTATGACTCTCTTCTGTTGTAGGGCTGTCCACACCAACGCGTGGTCTGTAGTGCCTACATCCGTTGTGCATACTCGTACTTCCGTCTCTTTCCCCCCATTCTCTACGACAATATAGTCAAGGATGGAGCGTTCTCCTTTTTTGAAACATTGCCTAGTCCATTCCGGTTCTGTCTTTCGTACTCTACCGTTCAAAACAGGAGGGGGGGGGGGGGACACGGTGGTGTCCATTTGTGAACGATTGTGCACGCGTGTGTCGAAATTTTCTTTCGTATCTGCTCGTTCCGCTGTTTTGTCACCCGTGGACAGCCATACGTGTGTACCCTACCATGCTCCGCGAACTGGCGTGGTTTGCTCCTTGTCTTTCGTTGAATGGTTTCTCCCCATGGCACTCCTCTTTCCTTGTATTTTTCCTTCTCTCTCTATACAGTGTTTTTAATATCGTTTTTCTTCCTCTTCTTCCCTTTCGTTTTCATCTCACCTCCTCTCACTTACACACCCTCAAATTACCCTTCGCTACACTGACACTGACTCTGCCTGTTGTTCTTATTTTCAGTCCACACCTTGAGGAGAATCCACGATGGGTTCTCCCATGACGTTGAAGCTCGTGTTGAGGACCATCGGTACCCCCGTCATCTTAAAGAAGGCCGTGATCAGCCTGGGCGATAGCCGACAAAATAAACAACATATTTGACAGAGAGATTGAATCAATCGCCGGCGCTGATGGCGATATAGCTGGAGGAAAGGGCGGGGGGGCACGGAGTACAAGTAGGAACGGCAGGGAAAGTGTCGGGCCAAACAGCGACGAGGCTTCCATCGACAGCACAGCAATGAAGCTATGTACCAGACGAACATGACATCGGCAAAAAACACCACGTGCGAAAAACACGAAAAGAAAAAACAAGCCATACTCCAAAACCTAAAACAAAACTGCTGTAAGAGCATGACAGCAAGACCAAAAAACGTACCTCTTTCATGAATCATGTTGTACCACACACATCGCGTACCCCCCTTCACCACCTTATTCCGTACAACCTCAGCCCATTCCGTACAACCTCATTGCAACCGCGAAAAACGTCCCATCCCACCCTACATCTCATCTCGCCTGTGGTATAGCGGGGACGATTCCTCTGTTACCGTCTGCAGCCGGGACGACCAGTCAACGTGGCACACGGCCGGAACCCTCTCCGCCACGCCGGGCTTGGCAGGGGCCGTGAGCGACATGTAGGGGGACCCTGGCGCGTTGCGATTTTGCGCGATTTTTTTTGCAGTAGAGAAGCATGGCTCGTTGGCAAATAAAGAACGACGACGACTCTTCAAGAACGAAGCCTGGAACAACCAGAAAAGAGGACAAATCCTGGACCATACCGTCCAGCCGAGACGTAGACGAGCCGGGGATGGTAGTGTACGTACTGTAGCGCGATCCTTGGGGCGGAGTTTTAGTGACACCTCCTCCCGTAGACACAATCAACAGCATCAAATATGCGAACTAAAAGGTTAAAACAGACGAGCTGATGGCAATCGTGAGGTTACCGGTGATCGCCCCTGCCTCCCACGCAGATTTAGAAAGTGCTCTGCGGTACGAAAACCAACCATAACAGGGCAGAACAACGTCTCCCGCTACTGAAAAAATGGACAAGACGTACGCAGACAGACGTGCCTCGTGAGTAAAAACATCGGCCGCGCACGACATTCCTAACCTGAGAGTCTACTCCCGGGGTGATCGACGATTTATGTACATTTGGTGTTCTAGTAGCCCACAAGGTCAGGGTCGTGAACGATCTATGTATCTTCCTACCGTCTGGAGGCAGGCCCTCGAACCAGTCCTCGGCCTCCTCGGCGAGCACCGAAGGCGCGAATGGCCGAAAATCTTCCCTGGGAAACGGTTGGAGGCATTGTCGTTGACGTTTTTTGTTGGCTACGCCCGCTTCGAGTGCCGTGCCAGGAGCGCGCGTACGTGCCCGGGGGGGGGGGGTTGGGAGCGACATGCCACCTCACACGGGCAAAGTGATCATTACAGGGTGAAGGCGGAGGCCCCTTCTGTCGCACAACCACATCAGCCGCGATATTTCTTACTCTGTTATGACGTTTAGGGACCTCTTCTTGACACCCACGAATCTCTTTTGACATCCACGCACCACTTTTTGACCTTCACGCACCTCTTTTCGATATTCACGCGTCTCTTTTTGACATCCACGCACCTTTTTTTGACGTCCGCGTTTATTCTCGCCGGCATCTCGGGGTCCCGCGGGTCCGCCAACAGAGATCGAGACCCGAGAGCGCGGGGGCCGAACTCTCCCCTTCCCTGGAACCACGCCACAACCTTCCCGTCAGCGATGGCCTGGGCTACCTCCTGCAAACACGCACGCGCGCATTATATGCGTGCGTGAGTGTATGTGTAGGCAAATGCGAGAGATAGGAACCCCGATCCATCCGTGTTGCGGGGTGGGGGGAGACCCAAAAAGCGATGCCGGCTCAGACACTGTAATGATCACGCCACACGGAACGACAACAAATCATCCACGCAGCCCCAACGGAAAAATACCAATCAGTAACACCCGCGCGGTGCCTTGCTTACCTCCACGCCGTTAATCTGACGGACGTCCACCCAGCGCTCCCACTCCGCTATCTCATCCTCCACGTCGTCCTCGGTCCAGCCCCTCCCCCAGTACGGAGTGCGCAGCTCCCCGGACCCTAGCGGCCCCGCTACCACCTTTGGGCGGCCCTCCAAGTCGCCGCCGCCGCCACTCTCCACCGGCGTGTCTGTCAGGTTTTCTTCCTCGCAGACAGCGGTAGGGTCACCGTTCTTCTTATCGGTAGGGGATAGGGTGGTGTCTCCGCTTGATGGGAGAAGCAGCCGGCGCTGGTGCCAGCCGAAGGACGCGCAGCCGACCGCAACCCCTTCGTCGCCCGGGCACGGCGGGACGAAAACACGCCGGAAGCCGGCCTTCCGGTACCGTTGTGGTGGTGGTGGCGCCGGTGGCGGCGGGTGTAGCGGGCAGCGGCAGCGTCAAAAGTACCAAAAATGTGGCAGTGAGAGTTGAAAAGCAACGGACAGACCAAAACGAACAACCACAACAATCACAACAACAACAACAACGACAGAATATCACAGAAAGCACATATTTGACCATGCACAAGCACACACACGAACAAACACGCCAACACCCACCTACCTTAACCCATGCACACGCGCACACGAACAAACACGCCTACGTACCTCTCGAGCGATCTTCCCATTGAGCACGCTATTCAAGGCCACGCCCCCACACAGGCACACGTTCTCCTCGCCGGTCCTGTCCCTCAGCCCCTTGACAAACTCCAGCGCCGCCTCCTCCAGGCCCTCCTGAGCCCTGGACGCCAGGGCCGCGTAGAACGACCCCAGCCCATGCAAGCCATCCTCGTTGCCGCTCCCGTCGTCCCCTTCGTCCTGACCGTCGCCCTCCTGTCCGAGCCCGTTGGGGCGGGGCAGGCTCTCGATGGCCTCCCAGTCAACGTAGAAGGCGTCCTCGCCGGTGCCGCCGCCGCCCTTTCCACCCAGCAGGAGAGAACCCGAGGTCAGCCGGGGGGGCGGAGGGAGCTCGCCAGCGGCGGGTGGAGACGACTTGGAGGCGTACGGCGCGAGGCCCATAACCTTTCCTGAACGGTTTGTTGGCCGAATGAAATTCAAGAGCCGGGGGTGAGAGAGAGAGAGAGAAAACAAGACCGAAACAGCGTCCTGGGTTGTTTCTAACGCGGTTGGAGGTGTAACCAAGGTTGGAGGTATCACCAAGAGGGGCGAGGTTCGCAATGGGGGTAACAGGGCGCTCCATAGGTACTGATCTGCGGGGGCGCTGGACGGTTTTCGGTAGCGGGGTAGGGTGACGGTGCCTCAGACAGGGCACCACGCTCTTTTCGTTCTCGCTCTCTAAAGGCAACCAACAGGGTCCTGGGGTCAACCAACCTCTCTGCGTTTTTGACAACAGGTCACGCCTCAAAACACGGGAGAAAAGAAGCAACAGCAGGCAACGATGTTTACACCCCTTCAATATGTACCCCCTCTTCTCCCAGATCCGCCTCTCTCACCGCAAGCATTCCAGTCGCCGAATATGTGGCTGCTGACCCGGCTGTACACCGCCCCCATCGACTCCATGTTCTCAAAACCGTGGTTGAACAGCTCGGGCGGGGAGCGCTCCCTTATCCACCTCTTGTAGATAGGGACGAGGGTGGGTCCCCCGTCTAAAGATCACCGCAACGAGACGCAAGGGGGGGGTGGCCAACGCGTGGGAAAACAACGAAGTAATAGAGGTCTCCATGCGTATCAGTGATAGTTCTTCGACGGGTCTCTGACGAGTAGGGCCAGAGGCGCCCGCGCGCGCGTTCGGGCTACCGTAGGTTGCATAAGATATCACACCCCCTGGACCAATTTTCAAAGCTCGATTCATCCACAACGAAGAGGATGTCAACATCAGGTTTTAGGTTTTAGGGAACCTCTCGAAGTGAAGGTTCCAACACCACCATTTTTCAGCACAGTCAAGCTTTGTGCCGCAGAGTAAGCGGGTTTGAAAATAAGTCCAGGGTATGTGATAACTTAAGGCAAATACGGTAGCAGGTCGACTTTGGCCACCCTAAGAGTGAGGGCGCGGCAACTACATGTATATCGCCGCGCCGTGATTTTACACTGGCCCTTGCACTCGAGAAGCGTCATGGGTCGATCCCAACCGCTCCTGCGCTTCTGGCGACTGTACGGTTCCCGGTTCTGCCGTCAACCACCTCCACAAATCCCCGTGTTGAGGTGCATCTTCCACTCGTCAAATAAAAACGCCTTTCTCCATTTCTCCGTTTCTCCCTCTCTCTTTCTCTTTCTCTCTCCCTCTCTCTTCCTCTCTGTCTCTCTCTGTCTCTCTCTTCTCCTCTCTCCCTCTCTCTCTCTCTCTCTCTCTCTCTCTCTCTCTCTGTCTCCCGTTATCTCTGTCTCTCTCTCCCGTTCTCTCTGTCTCTATCTATCTTCTCTCTGTCTCCCTGTCTGTCTGTCTTTCTTTCTTTCTGCCTGTCTCTGTCTCTGTCGCTCTCTCTGTCTCTTTCTGTGCATCTCTCTCTCCCTCCCTTCCTCCCTCTCTACCCCCCCCCCGCTCTCACCCGCCCCTGGCATAAACTGGTAGGCGCTCTCAGCCTCGCGGTACGCCTCGTGCGGCAGAAGCTCCTCCGGCACTTGCTGGAACCCGGGGCTGCCGTCGCCGGGAACCTCGGTGCCCTCCGCCATCTCCCCGCCCGCCCCGAGCTCCCTCATCAGCCGCAGGTCGTTGTAGTACTCCACCGGCGGTGGTCTTTCTCCTTGTCGCTGTTGCTGTTGCTGCTGCTGCGCCTGGCCGTCAACGTCGCGGGCATTTTCGTACTCTTCCCGCGCTACTGCCTCCGCTTCTGCGCGGGCCATGGCCCCGTGGGACTCTCCCATCCCATCCTACATCCCATGGGGAATTGCGTAAGGTACGGCACACAACAAAAGAAAGGCAGGACGCGGTTAGGTGGCGGTCCCGTGGGAGTCTCCCATTTCCATCCTACATACCGTGGATATTCAATACGATGGTGCACACCAAAACAAGGGCAGGGCGCGGTTGGGGGGCCGCGCGACGAAACACCGCACCTTGCAGCGCAAAAAAAACGGAAAACGCCAAGAGGTTGACCAGGGTTTTGCGAGTTCGGCCGCGCCGGTCGGCCTCCCCGGCGTGCGAAACGAAACGCGGAATCAGTCATCACGGCCACGACATTTAGTCAGCACTGCTGCCGTCGCCGCCTGTTCCCTTAGACTACAGCCGTACCCGCTTTTACGAACACTCATCCTAATTCAGCTTCCCACTTTACGTACACCAAAAAACCTCGCAAGCGGGGTCGACTACTGCTGTACTCCTGCCCAAAAGATTCCCACCCTTCGTCGGACGACGTGCATGCTCACCATGACGACGATAAGCCCGGAGTCGAAGGGCGACAGGGCCGCCGCGCTCCAGGCGTGGGCCAGGTGGTGCGAGAGCTCCGCGTGGGCGGCGCCCGGGATGAGGTTTTCCTCGGAGGCGTAGCTGGCCGGGTAGGTGCCCTGGGCAACCGCCCACGGTACCCTCTCCTCGAAGGGGGCGACGCGGTGGTGGTGGTTGTTGGAGACGACCAGGCGGACGTCTTCGAGGCTGGCCCCCACGGAGCGGAGGGCGTGGGAGACGAGCTCGCCCGTGTCGCCGCCGTCGTGCTTGGCGCGCGTCAGGCGCTCCTTCTCGCCCGCGAAGAGGCAGGTGCCGTCCCTACGAGGGGCGGGGGGGGGTGGAGCAGGGCTTTCTTTACATCTAGCACTATCTCGGCGGGCGGGGATAGCATAATGTTGCACTCTGTGTACATCGCCGCCGCCGCCGACATGGATACACAGCGGTTTTACTCTAGTTATTGCCCAAAATATGTAACGCACCAGCCGTGGATGCATCAAGCGGGGCACCGATGGTCGGAAACATGTCGTCTAGACATTGCTTGACATTTCGAAACACTGAAATCGATCTAAGAAACTGACTCCTTGGAAGGTCTTTATTGCATTGACTAGTTTGCCTCATTCATGGTTTGCGTTCCGTAGGTGCATTTCCACAGAAAGCTGCTCTCTGTGCTTCTCCCACGGACCCTCTGCCCCACACGAGCGTTTTCCAAGCGCCTATGTACAGTAACTGCAACCTGCCACAGCACAGCGCGTTGACCTGATTAACATAAGAGGCCGATTCAAACTTTGTCCGCGTTGCTGCGAGAGGACTCGCTCGCTGGACACATGCACAACCCACCGGTAGGAGAGGATGCACACGGAGCTGTCGTGGGAGTACTTGTTCAGTCCGACCACCAGGCCATCAGAGTCGGATGCGGAGACGGGCGGCGAGCTCGAGTCTATGGACAATCGTAATGCGGAGGCGGGTGCGGTGTGCTTGCTGCGAGGAGGGCGGAAAGTCTGGGGTAGGAATCCATTTGCTAGGGCGAGAGATGAGCACACCCAGGCAAAGCGCATCTTCTCTCACTCAGCTTCGCAAGTGATGCACGTGAGTGCAGCAGCACAGCCCACTCAAAGGTGTCCAGAGCTTGGTGGCTACCGAGCTGGCGAGTGCATCATGTCTTCGGCTGTAGGCTGCAGATGGAGCAGATGCGGCGCAATTACGATCGACCAATCACAGCCACAAGCAAGCGCATTCACCCTCGCCTGGATCCTCCACTCACTGAAAAGACTCCACATCCCGTTCGACATCTCGAATGGGTAGTCTCCCTGTGTGTGTGTATTTATTTTTCCTAATACTCGAAGGTCTCCATTTGATTCGTGCGCACTTTGTAGCCTATTTAGTGTGAATATTCTCGAATTCCGGAGAGTATGCACAGCAGCCTCACGTCGTTCCTGCTGCGAGGTTCGCATATTTTTGTCAAAGGCATGTACATCGATGCGATCGTGGCGACCGATATATACCGTATATGACACAAGATAACACACCCCCTGGACCGATTTTCAAAGCTCGATTACTCCACGACGAAGAGGATGCATAAACGAAACAATACATTTTCGAAAACCTCTCGACGAGACGGTTCCAACGCCGCCGTTTTCGGCGCTGTGACTCTTCCTGCTGTTGAGAAATCGAGCTTTGAAAATCGGCCCAGGGGGTGTGTTATCTTGTGTCATATACGGTACGCATACATACGATACTCCCTGGTTTTCAGAGGGTCTTGCAAGGTTGTCGTTTTGACCATTTTCGTATGCTAAATAAGGCAAAACATCTTGAATGGGTACAAAACTTCGCACTACCTCCAGACTACAGCAGTACAGCTTAGTTAGCTCGTGTTTCTCCATCGACAGTCTAGACTCGCACGTTGGCGTAGCGATGGTATGTAGAGCACCGCATATCGCGCGCCACACCATCAGGAGGGGGGGAATATAGTTGCATGGTCCCCTGCTCTTTCCCTACGGAGCTCTGTCCTCGAGACAAAAAATGGGGCCATCGTGTCAGAATACAATATACCACCTTATGAGTCAGCCACGTTACCGCTGTCCCTACATCCAAGAGGTAGACACCCAATACAACTGCACCAAGAGAGCATGAGACTCTTCAATGAAATGATGTGTCGGGCACTTCACAAGCAGCAGTTGATTCCACACATCAATTCTTTGCCGCGACCTTCATCGGATCGACCAAAGAACAAAAGAAGAGCTTCACATGGTCAAGAATTTGAAACAGTCAAGAGAGGCTAGGCGTACAATCAGCGCACGTTCGGTCGATTCGAGCTGTGACAACAGAGAGGGCGCATACGCATGCCGTCGAAAAAGCACATGTGTTCCGTACAAAAAACAGCGCTACATAACAACTCGGCAGCAGCAGTCAGCTATGGTACTGCGTAGCAATCGAGCAATAAACGTCGCGTGGAATTTCCTCGCTCTCCCCCCGTCTCCTTTCAAGTCCAAGGCGTTACCAGTCGCCAACAGCCCACAAGACTCCGTCGGCAACAACAGGACACCATCCAACCGCCCCTGTATCTCAACCACCATCACCACATCACTACTGTCCCGACCACCGCCGTCATCATCGCCACCGCTGCCGAGCGGGAAAAAAAAACGCAGGCGAAACACCCGTGTAGGCGCTGCGCGCGCTATACTACACAGCAGTAGTAGCTGCCCCTGTATAAGGCTGCGCAAGTATAAGGCCGGTCGCCCTGCACAAGACCGGTGAAATCTCTCGACACAAACGGAGCATTCAAGTTTGCTTAGTCTGGATAGTGCCGTCTGCCCGGCAAAAGGCCGGCCAAAACCCTTGTCACTACAAGTATGCGGCAAAGATACAGGCACCACTCCCACTGCTGTTACACTACCAACATCGGGCTGTGCTCCTCCGCTTCATTAAAACGCAGAACGATTCCAAAACGCGAGACGTTGCAACAAACATGCCTCCTTTGCATCATTGCAACGCCCGCATTGCTTCCAGCGGCCGGCGGTCAGGAGCTACCCACCTGGGTACGCGAAGCAGGGAAAGCGCAAGAGCGAAAAAAAAAAGGTTACGACGTGTGGTGTGAGGCGGAGAGAATGCGCACGTGTGCATGAAATAAAGGGGCGGAGATATCATCAGAGGGGCGGGGAACGAATCACTTCAAGGCACGGCAGTGGGAACTGGATTGTCGGACACACGTACAGGACTACACACGAACGACACTCCAGCTGAGTCACGTGTTAGACAACGTCGTCGTCCCTGGGTATCCAGGAGCGACGAGTCACAAAAAGACCATCCTTCTAGCGCAAGGATCCCCAACAGCAAACCAGAACCAAGTCAATATCTCTCCATTCCCGCCCGAACAGGGCGAGGTTTACCAATCCACAACCACGCCACACCAGACCGCACGATGTACTACCTTCCGCCCTCTCACCGCTGGCGACGCGATTCCACCACCATACATGAGCAAATAACTTCGAGAACTTCCAAACAGCACGCACACCCCACACAGCAGCCCCTCTCTCTCTCTCTCTCTCTCTCTCTCTCTCTCTCTCTCTCTCTCTCTGTGTCTGTGTGTCTTTTCTTTATTAACATCCACCGCGCTAACCTGCTGACCAATGAAAAGACGCCAGTCTTGTAATGTGATAAAAATCGTCTGTGTGTGTCTCTCTCTCCGTCTATATATAGTTATTCCTTACCCTTCCAGCGCAAGGTGCTCCAACAGCATGCGCCGCTCCCCATCGCTGTAGCAATTGTTGTGTCCACAGTGTAGCGGCAACACTCTCCCCAGAGACAGGCCCCCGTCGCTACCACCACTCTCGCTGCTGCCGCCGCCGCCCACCACTGCCGAAGCCGGGGAAGAGGACGAAGCCACCCCGCCTCCCAGGAGTTGGCTACCGTCGCCCCCTCCCACAAGGTCCATGCCGTAGCTGACGCGTCGTTATATTGTGGTATGTTTTTTTCCAGAGAAGACAACGGAAAAGAAAAACACACGCGGACACGCAAGGGGCTAGATGAGAAACAAGGAGTAGAAAAAATGTGAGATGGGTTAACTACTGTGGGCGCCCGGGGTGCTTCAGTCTAATGGGGGGAGACAACAGCCCGTCTCCAGCTGTGGGCCAAGTCATTGGACGAACACGTGAAAGCAGGCATGACGTACACAGACGCGAAACGAGCATATACGTTTTTCACCGGTCGACCTATCAACCAAAACAACAGCAAACAAAGAACAAGTACATGCCGAGCAACAACAGCATACAGCATACGTATGATACGGCATGCGGTGGGGATTCCTACATTTACACATACAATGGGGCAGAAGGCGGCGGAGAAATCGGAGATCGTCCGTCGCCGCCAATCGCAACGCGCGGGGTGACGAAAATGACAAGCGTACAGGATAGGACTGCGTTCGAACGATTGATAAGTTTATGAGGAAAAAGAACAGGGAGGGGGGGACGCAGACCGTATTCCCTAACCCTAACCCTAACCCAACTTCCCCGATTGTATGCTTTATCCAACATGTTTACTGAACACAAAAAGCCTTCGAAGGCTACTGCCAAAATAAATGCGCCCGAGTGACTGTTCGACAATGTAGACCGAATGTTTCGTAATGGTGCGAAAGTTTGTTTGTGTGAAGCCCACAGCCACGTACGAGTGAGCAGCATCCAGGCGTGAGGATACCGTTCACCCTCGCTGTCGTTGTCTTCGCGGAGACAGGAGGTCAAACAAAAACACGTCGAAGACACATGCGAACTGAGGAAGAGGACATTGCTCGGGCAACGTACGAGAACAAGTGGCGGTGACCAAAGGACAAAACGGAAGCCATGCCTCGCCGGTGCCGCCACACACAACACCCTCACCTTCGCCTTCACCTTCATCGCCACCACCACCAACAACAACACAACCACCAACAACAAGCAACTACCGATACCACAGCACCTCTCACCATCCGTCGCCAACGTTCGACGCCCTTCCCGTGCCTGCTACCCCTCCCTCCAGCGCGGCGAGCCCAGGCTCTTCCGGAGCACCCCGCACGACAGCAGCACCGCCAACGCCTCTGCTACCTCTCTCAAAGCCGCCTCGCCCCTCTCGCGCAAACCCCAACAGGCTGCTGCAGTTCGTGCCGGAAATGGACGACGAGGACGGCGACGAGGATGACGCCGCTAACGGTAGTGCCGGGGGTGGCGCGCCTCCCTCCATAGACAGCCGTTGCGCCAGGTACGCTAGCATCTGGGACACGAAGGCCACGAACGGGTCCGAACCTAGCTCGTCCGGATGCTCCTTTGATGGGGGTTACGTGCGTCGGGGGGGGGGGGGGGGGGGGGAACCCCAAGCCGGGCTGCCGCAAACCTTTAAA